TTTCTACAACTACACCAACCTCTTTAATTGTTTCAAAAATATTATGCTCACATCGTAACTCATAAAGAGAGGTTATTGTGAACTTTAAAAAGATGAGGAGTTATATGCATCTCACAATTTTTTTTTAAAAAAACATGCATTTATTTTAATTTATTTTATAGTTTAATCATTCAAGTAGATTCGAAGAAATGAAAATAGAACAAGCATTGAATTTGGTCCCTAAAAGATAGTAAAGATGTCTTGTCGGTTCTTGAAAGATTTTTTGTGACATTTAGGTCCATAGATTTTAACTTCATTATGAAGGTTACTCCTTTTATTATACTTAATTACTAACTCTATTAGTTTCTTAAATAATTGGTAGTTAAGTGTCAAATTGATACTTATTATTTTTCATTGTTGGTTGTTCTATTTCATAATCACATGATATGGACTATAATGCAAAATTTTGATATTTTTCGATCAACAACAATTACTGTCATGTTTAGATATTTTGACCATGGTGTTTTGATTAAAATAGAAGGTTATTGTTGGATTTTACAGGGTTTCCTATAGTTCATTTTTTTTTGTCTGAGTAAATCATAAATTATTGAATTTAAGGTTTAACAAAATGAATGGTGGTTTTGAAAAATATAAAATAAGGATACATCAATCGAATATGGATACTTCTGTTATGTTTAATGAATCACAAAATTTCATGGGTAGAAGTGAGAAAGAATTTAGTGATAATAGTCATCTTTGTTACCATGGAAACATGGCTTTGTTGAGGTTTCACGAACAATTATAAACTTTTATTTTTTCACTTGACCTTTTCTTGCTTTGGTGTTGTTGGCTGGTGTTCCTCTTCAATAATCTAGCAATCTCTTATCTTGTAGAAATGAGTTTCATATTTCACACAAATTAGTTTCACAGGTGAAATAAAATACGAGAATGAAAGTGAATGAGAAAAAATAAGTTATTTAAATGTTACTGCAGTTATTTTTATATAAAATTTAAAATTAAACATTACTTTATCATATGTCAAAATATATTTAATTTGCAACTATTACATGTCAACTAGAAGAAAAAATATGTGTCAATGTGACAATTAATTGTTGATTAGTCTTAAGAATAACAAAATTAATAGTTTAGTATAATAGAATAATTAACTTGTATAATATAATTAAAATTTAAGAATTCACATATCACAAAAATATTTTAAAAATTTATTGGTCATCTTCACCATCTTTCATGAGTATCTACATAATAAAAACATATTAAGGTTTAATTTTACGAGAAACTGATAAATTAAAGAAAATGGTTAAGAAGTTAAATTTTCGGTATGCATTTATTTCTAAGTTTATTTTTTAACAATTTTATTTATAAATCTATTAATAGTTCGAGAATATACCCTCGGAAATGTGATGCCTAAAACTGATATTCTTATAATGTCGAACTTAATTTGGTTAACTTTGAACATTCTAAAAAGTGTTGTTTTTTTTTTTTTGTTTCTTTAAGGAATATTGTATTCTTGTGATGGGGTCGAAAAAGGACTCAAACAACAAACATTATTATATTACTTTTCTTAGAAACTTTTAAATTTGAGATTTGAAAGGAAAAAAAGAACATCAAAGATAAAAAAAAATATTTTAATATTATTGAGTTTGATATATTCAATAATATTTTAATATCGCATACCAAGATTAACCGCTCAACTTTTTTCATAAATCTAAAAAAAGCATTTCTAAAATAGAAAAATAAAATAAAACTTATAGAGGATTTAAAAATAAAATTTTAAAAAAAATAATAAGTACAAATTCGTGATGCGGCAGGAAGTGAGGAAGTGTAGTTTTGTAGCCGCGTGTTGTGCACGGTGAGAAAGCGCGTGGGTATTGTGTAATAGATAGTGTGTTTTTCTTTTGTGTGTGTGTGTGATAGAAATTGTGTGATAAATGATAGATACGCGTTATAGCGTCGGCTAGTGTGTGTCCCTTCCCAGCGCTAACTCACTCGCTCCGGACTCTGTTTGTCAGAGACAAACTCATGTGCCACACATAACACGTCACCCACCAATTCCCTCCACACTCTTCAAAATGGAAACATTCTGCTCATCTCACAAACACCACTTGTTCCCTCTTTTGGTAAATCCTAATTATCCTAAAAAATATTTAAAAATCGTTTCAAGAAAATTTATTATTATTCTCTTATAAGGATAAAAGGGAAAACAAAAAATATGTTGAAAAATAAAGTTTGTTGCCTAAAAATATAAATCAGACTTATTTGTATTATTGTATATTATCATTATTTTTTTTCCGGAATGAGACGTGCCAACTCCCAACAATCACACATAGACAACCACATTCATTTTAAGGTAGAAGTGCTTCTTTGGTACGCTCCTTATTGTGGTTATTTTGTCTGAATCAAATTATGTAGGTAACTTTATTTTTATAAGAGAAAAGAGACTGTTCCAATAATCCCCATATGTAATTATATGTAATTCAATAGGTTAAAACAACTCTAGGTTAGTAGATCAACATTCTCAAAAGTTAGATTAGACTTATATAACATATAATTAGTACTTAAGTTAAAAAAAATAAAGATATTTATTAAGTTTATAAAAGGAAGTTATGAATCTTTTATAAATTCTTTTTAGTCAGGTCAAGCTATTTTTTTTAAAATTTAATCCACTATAATTAAAATTTTCTATTATTTTTCATAGACATATGTGATAAGAATTTAAAATAAAGAGAAAAAGGCGATGTAAAACATTTTACATACACAAAAATCAGATTTATAATATTTGTTAATTTTTATAACAATTATCTTAAAAGTAATATCAATAGTAATTTTTGATTGGTTGTGCTAGTATAAATTTTTTTAGTACTGACAGTGGTTCGCCATTAAATCCTAAAATAAATATTTAAAAAATTCATATTATTTAAAATAACTTTTTTTCAATACTTACTTTTATAATTAACTTAAAATATTTGATATATTGTATTCGATGTGTTCATACTATGCTTGCAAATATACAATAAACAACTATATTAAAGTACTTCTGATATATTTTGTCCAAAAATAAACTATTGTTATATAAACAGCATATCAAGTTACTTTATCTAAATACGTCATTATATAAGATGAATTTTGGCATTTTGTTCAATAAATTGTGAATAACTTAGCCAGCAAGCCAACTCAAGAGAAAGGCACATAGCCATATATACGCGGTTGACTTGAGTCCCTGAGGGGTAGGGTGGAAATTGTCTGTTTGTCTTAATGAGTGCTCATTTTTTCATCACCCTTTCACTTTTAAACATCAATGTTTAATGACCCTAAAAGCACTCTGCCATTTTTCTAAGTTCCTTTTCAAACTATGAGATCATAGGATAAAAAACAACTCAGTACTTGTTCGTGGCCCAATTTGATGGTAAAGATGAATATATTAATGGTGCAACTAATTAGAATAGAAAAAGAAAAGGATAACAAAATTAATACTACATTCTTTTTGGTGGCACCTGGTCAATAATACTCATAGATTATGTTTATGTTTTGATATCGGTTTAAAATTATCTTCAACAAAAAAAACTTGTATTTCAATGTAAAAAACCAAAAGTTTGTGAGTGTATTTTTTTTTTTTAAACTGTAATCAAGTTTATCTCAACTAATTTTTAAATACACCTTATTTCTCTGAGTTATGATAATGCCTTCTTTCTTTACTGGAGTCAAATTATACACATAAGAAACATAATTTAATGCTAGGAATTCAGTGAAAGTGGTTCTTTTTCCAACATACCTTTTCTTGCAAATAGGCTTAGGAGAGAAAGCAAAACGGCGATAACTTAAAATAGAAGCAGCTAGCAGGAGAATACTTATCACTGAACACAAACAATTTTTTGATCTGTAAGTTTGTTTTATAGCTTTTAGGGAAAGTTATGACTTAAAAGCCTTAAATTTCTATTCATTATTCAATGTGTGATCTTACCTGTACATCTTTTCTCTATACAATTTATTGAAACAATTTGATTGAGCGAATACATTTAGTTAACGATAGAAATTTACATTAAAGCTATAAAGACCATTGCAGACCCCAAAGCTAAAGCAGATATATAAATACTATAATTATGAATGACCAATAGAAAAGACCAAGAGGAAAAATTTGAGACCATTAAGAAGGTGGAGTCACTTTAATTAAAACATTAGAATGCACCCAATGATCAACATAAAAGCTAAGTTCTAAAATGAACTAGAGAAAGAGCTTTAAGAGCGTGTTACACTGTTATGCCTCTCCTTTCACTTAATCAGTAAGGACAGTGAAAACGTGGCATGATCAAGATCTCATCAACAATGAGTTCCTTTAGAGCTGGCTAGTGAATCCACTGTTTGGTTTAATAACGCAAAATTTTAAAGAAAGTAGCTTTTAGCTCAACGACTGTTCTCAGCCCACGTAAGAGAATCTGCTTTTTACGTATTCTCCCATTGTTGATTTCAAAAAGTGGCAACAATCAGCGAAGCTCACTTTTATGTGTGTGTGGGACAATGCTTTATCTTGAGGGCAAGAACGTCCTTATAAATAAAATTGTAAAAAAACAAATTACCATGAATCAGAATCTCCTCTGGAAGTTACCAACTATAATAGAAGCTTGAGAATGACAAGCATAGATAAAGGGTTTTTCCAGAACATGTCGTGAATTGTTGTACGGATCATTATTGCTTATACTCGATTTTAATGAAGCTTTAAGTTAAATCCTTTTTACAATGGTTTTGTGGGTCGAGATGTGAATGATCATTGATCATTGATCACACTTAGCTTAGGTGAGATATTAATAATTGATGGGCCAAAATCTTTATTAGATGGGACAAAGATACATACTAGCCAACTTTCCAATTTGCATCCTTTAACTCAATTGAAATTTAGAAGATAATATGCCATCATGAATGGTAGTGGATCATAGAGGTACTATTCAATGACCACAATACCCTTCAGGATCTAAAAAATGACTGGATCAGATTACAGAATCCAACAACCTTATCCTCAACATGTTCCAAATCGCCATGTCTTCGGGCGTAAAAATAAAGAAAAGAAAAAAGAAGAGAGGAAAAAACAAGAAAAGAAAAAAATGGCAACATATTCTCTCCCAACTGCATACCCCTTGTGTCTACCATCATCATCATCCTCTTTGTCATTAGCAACAAGAACAGATGTTTACCACCCCATCAAATGCAGTGTGAAAAAGCAATTAACTCTTAGCAAAGCAGTTAATGAACCAGCAATACATCCTCCAATTCTGACCAAAAGAGGGTTATCCATCAGTTTTGTGACCACCTTTGTGCTTTCATTGACTGGTGAGGATGCTAATGCTGCAATCCTTGAGGCAGATGATGATGAGGAGCTCTTGGAAAAAGTGAAGAGGGACAGAAAAAAGAGAATTGAGAGACAAGGTGTGATTAGTTCATCCACCAAAGAAACAGGTCTGATCCTGCAAAAATAACATCTTGCTTTTCCCAACATTATTGGGTCAATGTGGGTGTACCAGTACATATCATTACCTAAACATGAACAGCAATTTACATTATTGGTTTGTCCTATTACGTGTTTCCCAAAATATGAAATCCATTTTCATGTTCCTTTCCTTTAATTAATCGACTTTGTTCACTCTGGAATGCAAATAAATGTAAATTACATTGATAAATCTTTGAGTCTGCAGAGACTAGCAATAAAGTAGTTGAACCAATTCTTGAAGGTGTCGAATGAGCAAAATGTCTAAAAGGTGCAAAGCTAGGCTTCTTGTTCTGTTGTATGTTTGTATTGAGTTTATTTTAATGAACATTAGTGTAAAACATTTTTACAGGATCTTCTAAATTTATATTTGTATCAATTTGTATTGATGTCTCATTCAATGATACTGATTGGGTTCATCATTGTATACCATTGTTGCCATCATTGTTCACACAAAAAAGTCTAAATTTATAACGACATCTCGTTCAATGAGTGTAACTAATTAACATACTCGCATAATTGTTAGTTTGGCTTTTAAGGTGGAAATGGAATTGATTATGAAAAAATTGAATCTAATTCAAATGCACGCTAATAAATTTGAAAATATGCATAGGCTTGCTGTGCTGCTGTATTTTAGTTGTCTCCTTTAAGATTACAGCAGCCAATTTCTAAAATGACGCATAATTCCATGCTACTGATAGTTGACACTGTTCCTGGCGTAGGTTATTTTTAGAGTTCAATTTTGGTATCCTTTGCCCAAAGAATTTTACGCACTCAAGTCTCAACCAATTATAAATTACTTTTGATATAACTTTTATTATCTTTAGACTCTCAACCAATTATAAATTACTTTGAATATACATTTTAAAGTAATTATTACAGAAGTCTAAATTTTGTATTTTATATTAATTAAATTTTGATTTTGAACAATCAGAAATCGAACATATATAAACTTTGCTTTTCAAAACAAAGGTGCTTGTTCTCTGCATCTTTTAAGTCACATTTTTGGCTTGCATATATATAGTCCCTGCTCAGGAATACAATAATAGAATTAAGATTTGAAGAGGTCACACTAGCTGAGTTCTTTTTTCTCCTCCCAATCATGGTAACTAATCTGAAGAATGAGAGATAGAATTCGTGTTTCTCTTTCGTGATGAACTTCTATTCCTTTTCTCATGTACTTGTTTGCTCAAGTTTCCTTCATGAAACAAAAAACACCAGTTTCTTTTAGGAGCATAATAAAAGAAAATTTTCAGGCTGCCTTCTTTTTCACTAAATTCTCAAATTCAGCCAGCACAATTTCCCTTAGTGACTTAGCAATAAAATAATTTTTTTTTTTTTTGCAGCGTATCTTCAGGACCTGGTATATAAACTGAGTGAAGTTGGTAAAGCAATTGAAAACAATGATCTACCTACAGCCGCTTCTGTCTTTGGGAGTGGCACTGATACTGATTGGGTCCAAAAAGCTAATATAGCTTTGAATAAGGTTAGTCTGGTTTCTTAAATAATTGCATTCATTATGAACACTTTTGTCACGGAATCTTCTATTACAAAATGTGTCAGCTATTAATTAGGTGCAGTCATACTAGTACTAGTGCATAAAATCCCATCAGAATAGGAACTTGTTTGAATACAAGTTGGAGTGTTTTTCTCTATTAGAAATAAAAAATTATTTTTAATAATGAAGCTCACAAAAACATTTCTAATCTTGTATTCAGACAAGTTATAAGTGTGCTTGTGTCATGATAACATCAATCATCTATTTTTTTTTGTCAATCACTTAATTTGCTGTAATCTTTTGGTATCTAAATTCTCATGTGGATGTTTTTGATTCTGAATTTTCACAATGGGAGAAAACCAGTGCCTTCACTATCATTCTCAAGGGGTAAAGATTAAAAAGCCTATGAGAAGGAAAAATTTCAAACACAGCACTTGCGTGTGGGATACAATGAACATTGGAACATACTCTTCATTCTCCACTAAAAGTTTGAACTTTCTGGACGAATTTTTTTTTTTTATAAATAAAGTTGCTGTTTATTTAAATATCTCTTTCTAGCTTCTTAATTGGATATCTTACGGTTTCTAGTCAATCTTTTTCAGCTGAGTGCCAGTCCTGAAGAAAAGACTGAGGTGGACACATTCAATTCCTCGCTAGCTTCATTGATTTCATCAGGTATCAAGTTTCACACAACACAGAAAATACATTCCTGCCTCGTACCTTGTTCCTAGGTGTTAATATTATTGGATATCACCCGCACAAGTAAAACAATCTAGCTGTAATCTTGTTGATAGACTCTTGAGAAGCCTTCATGTCTAATTGTTATTTATTATTTTGACACATAAAATGGTGGCCACAAGATTCTTTGTGCCAACTCTTATTCCTTTTTTATTTATTTTTATTTTGTGGCAGTTATTGGGAATGACGTTGAGTCCTCCAAACTTGCCTTTGTGTCTTCGGCCAGTGCATTTGAGAAGTGGACCTCCTTGACGGGGCTGATTGTTCAGCTTAAGGGGCTTTGAGGGGAAGCTACAACATATTCTATCTAAAAATTTGTTGATAAATATAGAGAATTCCATTAACTTCCCGTCAGGTTCACCTAATTGGTGTCTTGGTGGTTGGTGCAGTCCCATTTCAGCTTTATCTATCACTACTACAAAAGGCAAATATACTAATCATTCGTTGCTCAAAAAGTTTGAGCTTGATTGTGGATAGTCTCAACTCTCAAGCAAAATTGCAATTTTGATGTCTTTGTGAATTTAGCAAGTTCTACTTTTTCTTTTGTTCAACGAACAAAGCAAATAGGACTTTTCAAGTTGTTGTGAGGACTAAGGCGATCGAATTGTGGTTTGAGCCAACAAAAGAACCACCATTCTGTGACTTTTTTAGTTTCACTGCAACCGGGTTATCATTATCCATAATCAAGGTAATGGTTATTATTAGTGTTTAATAGAAGAATGAAAATATAATTAAACACATCCGGCGTAAATTGGACCGATCTTCAGCCCAGACAAGTGGAAGTAAACAACCTAAATGTAACCTGATAACAACAGTTTAGGAGTAAATGAAATATTTGGGTTCACGATAGTAGTACAAAGATTACAGGTCCATATCACATTACAAGTATCTTACAACATAATTTAACGGAGAGGACAAAAGCTACACGTCTCTCCAACACAGAGATGGTACATTATAGAGCTACACTATAATTGTCTATAGTTGTTTCAATAAACAATCAGATAAATAACATCACAACAAAACTAGAGTCATACTCGGACAGATCTAAAGGGGTCAGAAAGAGAGAAGAGAACCCAAGTTTATTATTCCTTATTTAGCTGCTTTGACCTAACCAGTTCAACTTCCATTCTCAGTCAACTCTGGTTCAGCCTTCTTGTTTATATCATGAACCTTAAAATGTTCTTCATCATTCACTTGAGATACTTGAGTGCCTCTGTTATGTTCCTCCTTATTCTCTCCTTCCAGTTCAACCTTTTTCTCATCAGTTCCATCATCTTTCTTTGTCTCCTCCAGTGACTGTCCAATCTTTTCCACATCTTTATTCTGAACAACTTCAGAACCCTCAACTCCTTTGTCATCAAGTTGCTCTTTTGAGGCATGTAGCTCTCCATCATTGGTCTTGAATTCTTCCTCATCCTTAGGTATATTGGCATTTTCTCCATGATGGGTGGATTCTTTTCCATCTGTATCCTCCGCTCTCTTCTCTTGATTTTCCTCCACAACATTCTTTTCTGGGTCTAAACCTTTGTCATCCTTAGTTTCACCAGCTTCTTCCATTTGTTCTTCTTTCGTTTCCTCTTTTTGTTCTTCCTGAGAAGCATCCCTTTTTGAAGCTGGTGATTTCTTGCCACGTTTCTTTGGGGGCTCATTTTCTTGGGGAGGAGCTGCCTTGGCCTTCTCACTGATTCTTGCTGATCTTCTCGGGGTCTCACCAGTGCCCCAATCAAATTCGGATGCAGCTGGGCCACCAGGGTGTGCTTTCAGATACTGCTCCAGTTGCTTCCGACTACTGATCTCCTCTCCAGTTGGTGCAGTGAATACAATCTCATTTTTCTTTGGGGTTCCAGACTTTTTTGGAAAGAACTGCAAGGAAAATATGATTTATGAATAATCTCATATGCATAAACATGCAGAAAATTAACATCGGAAATACATACAAGATTTTGATTTAAGTTATTGACTTCTACAAGTAATCCCTAGTGTGAAAAATGAAGCTCTCTTCACATCCTTCATATCACAATTACATTATAGTGCTGTCTTTGGTACTCATGCAATTAAACACTAGTTTGAAGAGCATAATAAACCCCTGATAAAACTTTATTATGTTTCTTGCTCCTTTTTTTTTCCAAAAAAAAGTTTTTTTTTTACAGTTTTAAGCATATGTGTGCCTAGTTAAACATCATAGGCTGTTATAAGCTAGCAGTTTTACTGTTAAACTTCAGTAAGAGAGTAGCGTGGCACCAAATTAACCTTGTTCAGTCAGAAGGCTTTTCTTTCCCTCTTTAATTCTTCCATTCAGGCTATACCTGGGAAAAGTGAAAGTTCATGGAATGGTGTGGAAGAGACGAAAATGTGATGACAAGTATCTGAGGCTCACACTGCGACCAAGAAACACAAAAATACACGCATATGGACTGTATATGAACCATTTACCAATCTAAAACTGCAGTATAGAAAATAAATAGACAGCATCATACAGAAACATGACCCACAGTTTATCTCAGGGAAGGGAATAAGGTGAACAATACTGTCCATATAAAACCTACATAAATACCCTTCTAGCTTTGTATTATACAAAGACTCCTTTGGATTTTATTTTTCAGCGGGGGTATGTGTCCAGGTAAAACAGTGAGTTGGTAGGGAGCTTTAGCTCTCAAGATTTCCACCTTGTGTCCATTAGATCACCCTAGAGATATGCAATAACTTATCATATAAAATCACGTATAATAAATGCTAGTCTATAGAATGATCTAATGGAAAAGAGAGTAGAGCTAGATAGCTCAAACTCTCCACAGATTCACCTTAGAAAAATTTTCCCCAAGGGTTATAACTTATACGTGTTCTAAAATATTTTTTGTGGTGAGTGCATAGGTTTTGTAAATATTTTGATGTTTTGTAAACCTTGGGGGAAATCAATTCAACTTACTTCAAGAAATACAATAAAGGTTGTTACAAGGTAGGTTTCTCCATTAGATCACCCTAGAGATATGAAATAACTTGTTATATAAAACCATGTATAATAAATGCTAATGCTAGTATCTATAAAATGATCTAATCAATGGAAAAGAGAGTAGAGCTAGATAGCTCAAACTCACCATATACTCCTTAGAAAAAATTTCCCCAGGGATTATAAGTGTTCTAAAATATTTTTCATGTGGTGATTTCAAAGGTTTTGTATGTTCTGTAAACCTCAGGAAATCAATGCAATTTACTTCAAGAAATATGATAAAGGTTGTGACATGGTGGGTCTGTCCTGGGTATAACACGATGGAGAAAAATAAATGAAAGACCTAGAGTTAATTTTCACTTTTTCAGAAATGTCGCAAACAAAATATTAGAATAAATGGATGCAAATATAACAATGATAATATTATGATTGTAATTATTATATGGTAAGAGACCAGGCTATTTTTCTCCCAGTCAATAATTATCAAGTTGATAAAATCTTAACTGTTGTTCTATGTATGGAAGATGTATGTTACCTTAAAGAAATATGACGAATCAATAGAAGAAAGTAATAAAAATGGATGCAAGAAAACTAAAAAGAATTTTAATAAAATGATTTTTTCCAGCATAATCACAAACCATAAAATATTTAACAAGAATTTCTTCATGCTTCATTAAAAATTAACCAGCAAAAGTAACATGAAATTTTTCATGTAAAACGCAAGACATAACTGTAGCATATTATAAATAAGGTATACATTGTACATCACAAAATTTATCTAATTAATTAAGCAGCAGATAACAGCTCAAACAAGTACCAATTAAGCGGCTGATTGTGCTGTACATAATACATCGACACAGAAGTTGCACTATTTGAGTAAAGTTATATGGTTCCTTTTCTTACAGAAGTGTTGTAATGTTCAAAGCACAGCTAAGCACCAGATCAAATAAGTACCAAGTTACAACTTAAGTCTGGGACAATTTTAGCTGAACACCTTAAAAACTAAACAGAAAGGGGGAAAATTGAGAACTGAACAAGAAACTGTATTGGATCTCAAACACGACATTATTCAAGCAATGTTTATCATTTCAGCAACTTTTCATTTTTCACTTTTTTTTT